GCATTCTAGAGCCTGCGAGCCACAACTGCTGAGCCCGTGAGCCACGACTATTGAAGCCCGCATGCCTAGAGCCCATGCTCCATCCACAACAAGAGAAGCCACTGCAATGAGAGGCCCACGCACCGCAACAAAGAGTAGCCCCCCGCTCGACACAAGTAGAGGAAGCCCACACACAGCAACGAACACCCAATGCCGCCAAAATAAATAAATTATTTTTTCAAAAAGAATTTTATATTTGAGATAATGCCCAGAAAAAACAACATGCACAGAAACTCTGGCCACAGTGTTGAAACTTCTGCAGAACGGCAGCAAGGAAAAAATAGTTGACAGTGGAAAATAATCTCAGTTGACTGTCCTGTTCCCCACAAATTGGGCTTATCACTTTTAGATTAGTTTGATAGCCACAATAATGCACTCCGCTGCTTTCGTCTCTGTTGGATGCATCAGGTGAAGGAAATCAATCCATTTTTGATGTGAATTGTTTAGAAGGCACCCACCTTTCTTTCCATCATCTCCTGTTTGTGTAGGAATTGAAAACTGAACATGCTTCCTATATCTTTATATCATCTGCAGTTTTTATACTCGTCCCGTGAAGTAGGCAGGATTGGTCTTACTCACATTTTATAGGCGAGGATGCAGGTTTGGAGAAGTAAACTGAAGAGTGAGGGATCTGACCCCTGGACTCTAGGCCATTCCTACGCTGCCCTGACTGAGAACATTGCATGCGGCACTGCCTGTGATGACCGGCATCCCTGGTCTCCACCCACCAGAGCCAGGAGCCCCCCCTCCCCCAGTTGTGACAACCAAACAGTGTCTCTGGACGTGGCCAGATGCCCCGGGGGGTGGGGGTTAAAATTGTCTCTGCTGGGGAACCACTGCCCCAAATACAGTGGTAGACTGGGAAGGCATCGTGTCAGGTCCCTCTGAGTGTGTTAATGGGGCGGATGGAAATTTCAGGCTCCTGGGCCTTGCTCGTCTTGGAAGGCGACCCTTCACTTGAGTTGTCATTGCCTTTGGTGGGCCTGTTCTCCAAATCCTGCCCTGGGAAGGAGGGTGGAATGTCTGGTTGTCCCCACCATCCTCCCATACCTAGGTAAGAATCCTAATTAGAATCCACCCTGGAAAGGGCGACCCTCAGGGTGAGTCAGCAGGACCTTGTCTCCCCTATCTGCCCTGGAATGTGAACTCATGGCCTGTGATCATGCCTTTCCAAAGCGCTCCTTAGGAATCCACAGTGACATTAAAATCCAGGCATTGCTAAAGGTCTCCTGTAAGGAGGGAGAAGTGTCAAGATTCCCCCTCTGAGAACCTGCTTCTGTAGCTCCCAGCACCCTCGCACCTCCTGGCTGTTGATCCCAGCGGAGTGACCTGGTCTCTGGGTCTGAGGTGGCAGCTGGAGGTTCCTGGGGCCTCTTCCTACTGATGCTGAGAACAGCTGGTAGGCTTCTCTTCCCTTGTGTGTGTGTGTGTGTTTCCTTTTTCTTTCCTGAGCTCCGCCCTTGATTGCTAACAATTGCCAGCACACGTTCATGTTTATAGTCATAAATTATGTCGTCTTCTTAGAATCAAGGCCCCAGCTTCTAGTTTCCACCACCAGCGCTGCTACCTTGGGTCCTCAGGGCCACAGTTTCCATGGCTGCCGTAACAAATGACTGCAAACTTGGTGGCCTAGAACAACAGAGGTTTATGCTCTCATAGTTCTGGAGGCCACAAATTTGAGATCAGGGTGTGGGCAGCCTGCACTCCTTCCAGAGACTCCAGGGGAAGATCCTTCCTGCCTCTTCCAGCTTCCAGGGGCTCCAGGCCTCTTTGGGCTTGTGGCCGCCTCCCTCCCGTCTCTGCCTCCATCTTCCCGTGGCTTCTCCTCTGTGTCTGTGTCTCTCTTCTTATAAGGACACCAGTTGCTATGACCTGAACGTTTGTCATCCCCCCTCACCCCCAAGTTCATAATATATGAAGCCCTAATCCCCC